AAAGGGTCTATATATATTTTTGCATTTTGTTTCATTGCGTGTTCGTACGTGATGCGCTCATGCGCAAATACAAATATAAGGAAACGCACCCTCAAAAGATTATGGTTTCGTTTATAACCCTATAGTTATAGGGTTATAAACCCTATAACTATAGGGTTATAACCCTATAACCCTATAGGGTTATAACCCTATAGGTTATAACCCTATATCCTATAGGGTTATAGGGTTATAACCCTATAGGTTATAACCCTATAACCCTATAGGATATAGTCAACCAAAGTCTTACGGGTACGGAGATGAAACGCAATGACCCATCATCGTATTTCGGGTGCATCAGTGTGCGTTTCCACCCCTGAACTGCGAACCCATTGCAGTTGAGGAAGAAGAATAAACGCCGCGTAGTTATAGAGTCTACGCGCCTCTGGGTGGTCGACGCAAATACATTTTTATCTTCAAATCGCCACACCTTAGCCGGTGGACTTTGAACCTGGTTTTACGTGTGTGCCCTTTTTAACGAGTGCCCCGAAGCGCTCTCGTGCACTCTGAAGCATTTCGGAGCAGTTTAGGATGACATCTCTAGCTCTACACGCAACATTTTCGTTCAAAAAGCGTAGGCGAGAGAGAAAAAAAAATGGAGCATGCCGTTGTGACGTCAGAAGTACATAAAAACCCTGCGCCCCCCCCCCCCCCCTCCCTTTTTTCCCTCAAAATGCTCCAAAAGACCCCATGTGATTTTATCCCCCCCCCCCCCCCCCCCAGCCTCAACCAATGGCGCGGTGCGCTCTGGGCTGTCTTGTCATCGCAAGCTCCCTGCACCTTCTCTACGTCGCCCTTTGATTGGCTTGCTCCTCCTTGCATTCCGATGCGCCAAAGCCTCATTTTGGAATACTTGCTCGCCGTATAGTCACTGCGAGCTTAAGAAACGAAGAGCGTGGCTTAACATAATCACACCTATAGCTTCGTGATTGGTTCTAAGGTGTTGTTATCCTCAAATTCCGCTGTTTTATTGATTTCGAAACGATTACAAGATGCTGGGAACACGCCACTCCCATGTTCAGTCCATCTCATGTGAGATGGACTGAACATTCGGCAGAGCTTTGTTTCTTTGGGGCGCCAATATTGAAATAAATACACTTACGGATGCTCCCCCATTGTTGTGAATTCAGCGAGGTAGTTCGTTTCTATACTGATGACGCGATAACGGTATTTTCTCGCTGCACTGCATAGGCTCGTCAGCATGAAGCGACAACGTATCCCCCAAGAAAAGTTGACTGTTTTTTGTTTCTTTTCGGGAAAATAAATTGCGCATTGACGACCGCTCAATCTCCACCCAAATGTCACGTTAGCGGTGCGAAGCAGATAACAAGCCTCGACAACTAACCATTGTAATAACTTACCGTTAAGAGTTATGAGGGATTGTCTGAAGCATTTAATGGAGAATCGAAAATTTCCGGAAATAGCGTATAACTTTGAAATAAAATAATGGTTAATTCTGAAACTTTGGAATGTGATTCGCACCACTAAGGCTACATCTGGACGGACCTTTGAGCGTTCGGTAATTCGTAATTCAGTTTTGTAATAAAAAAATAATAAAAAAAAACTAAGTTTTTGGGGGACACTATATATCAGCGTGACCGATTATTTTTTGGTCGTTTCGATATTTTTGCTACAACGCACTTTCGTCGCGATGTAAGGCGGCGAACCTAAGGATGCGCAAAAGCATCCGCTTTAGGTGAGTCACTGCGCGCGTCGACACAAAGCATAACCTTTTGCCAAGGACCGGCTTCATTTCACCGTAAGCTTCTTACGCGTAGTTTTGCTCAGGGCACACAATATACACGAGCCAAGGTCTTCCGTATACACTCACAAGATCGATGCAGCAAAGCCTCATTGCGCCTTCTCACGGTCTAACAAAGGAAGAGGTTGCCAATTTCGGTTCCCTCTCTCTCTCTCGACGTTTTATTTATTTTGGATTACGTGGTTGGCGGTGGAACAACTCTGCTACCGATTGCGAGGTAATCGATCATATTAGTCGTATTGAGCAGTTCATAGGTTACAGGTGATCTTGTGGATCCATCGCAGAATCTCCAGTGATATATATATATACATTAGAGAGTTTTAGTATTGCGTACAGGAACAAACGGAATCACTGTGCGTTTGCGTTAGCGTTGCGTGCTCAACGCTAAGCATGCGCCTCGTCGCTATGCGCCGATCCTAAGAAGCAGTTTTGGGCTCCCGTGCAAGTACGGTTTGGAAGACTCGACGCTAACGCAAACGCGCAGTGTTTGAATCTGCTCGTATACGCAATTCTGAAACTCACTACAAACAAAATGCCCCTTGTGACAATCACGTAGCCAGGATTTTGTTTCAGGGAGGGCCCGCCCATGACAAAATGCTGTATGAGGGGGAGGGGTACTGCAGGTCCCGGCAAAATAGAAAATTTCGGGGGGGGGGGGGGGGGGGAGGGGTCCGGGCACCATGCCCCCCCCCCCCCCCCCCCCCCCCCCCGGCTATGTGCCTGCCTCGTGATATAGAGAAACGTCCAAAATCCTAGCTCCCAGCAAAAAAAAAAAAAAAGGGGGGGCGGAGATAATAGTTTCAAACGCAGGCTCTTGTGAAGAGAGAAGCTGCGCACAAAACAAGTTTTTTGCTTTTTTACAGCAGTATTGGCATTGGTGCTCTTCTTGGAGCTTCGTGACTATGCATTTCCAACGTTTTTGCACTAAAATATGTGCGAAGGTTTCTAAAAAAAATTTTTTTCTAAAAACGTAGCCCCCCACTGTGTCATGGAGTCAGCATAAATAGTCATGGCGGCACCCGTGGAACAGAGCAGACGCTGGTCTATACTCGGCGTCTATTTTTCAGTGCGACCTTGCCAAGATTAACGCAGTTTCCATCATAATTTAAAAGCTCGAGACAAAGGAAACAAGGAGGACACACAAACCACCGTCTCATAACCAGCACAGCACGCAGCTGATATTTACTTTTACAACAGTCTTCATTGTCATCTTCAAATTGAACAAACACATCCTTACAGCAGGTACTCACACTACTCTCAGAAAGCCGTTCTGTTCGTAGTGTGAGTGCCTACTTTGGGCGCCACCAATATGCTCAGGCACCAATGAGGACATTATCTGCGTATTCTGCAGACACGAAAACCAAAATGAAGGAAGTAACTCGATACAACTGTTATCTCGAAAAAAACTACTAGACACTTAAAAATGGCGCTGCAAGTGGGATCCACGCAGGTGATTATGCACTTAGCTTGAACGTTCACCCTTTAAACTAATGAATAGGGTTCAGATATAATTTGCGATAGACCGTCCTTCCTGCTTATCGGGTGTATCGTTGATCATTTCAATTGATTTCGAATATTATGACACCTTAGAGTTATGCGCCCAAGAAAATTTTATTTACTACATTAAAATATAAAACTAGAAATGACAAGAAATATAGCCTCTAATCTTTTCTGTAATTAACTACAGAAAATGTTACAGTCGACAGTTTTTCGAAGAGTCTCGCACGCGTATGGGTCGAGAATTATTGGCTGGACCTTGACACCGGTTGGAAATAAGTATACAACTAATGGTGTGCACGTGCGAGCCGAAGGCAGTCATTAGCATTTTTGCCCGATGTCAAGTGTTTCCAAGATTCTTGGCGCTTCGAAAGTATTGGCCACGAATGCAAGTCCGATTGCATCAACACCGATGTCGATTCGTCAATAAGGAACTGTTAGCAAGACGAATGAGGCAAGACATGCACGGAGAAAATAAAATAAAGACATGAACACAACCAGTGGGGACTTTAAGGGGGGTCGGTCTTTCGATCGAAGATGGAGTGCCGTCGGTCTCTTTCAGAGGTCTTCAGCGGGCAGTCTCTCGGAGCTCATGCTACACTGGCATCCTGATACAATCACAGTCGTGTTACACTACCTGGAGTGTGGATGCTTAGTAGATAATGCAACGACAGATTAACCGGCGACTGGAAGCAATCTTACTTTAAATCTGTCTCTAATCGAATTGCTTGTCCTATACTCCGTTTCACGTTATGGAGTACCACAGAGAAGGCTAGAAGCGCGAGCTCATAGCGTTGGGAGCTGCTCTTAACGCACGAGAGCTTGTGCCGCCGAGATGTGCCCTAGAGCAAGGAGCTCGCGCTTGTAGTCTTTTCTGTGATACATCATAAGGTGAAATAGAGTATAGCAGTATGCGCGTGTCACGACTTGTGCTTCAACCATCGTTAAAGATTCCAGGTTAGCAATCGTAGTGGGCTGGCTAAATTTGCCAGCAAATGTGGTGACCAAGCTGCCCCTTTTCAAGGCACACCATCTTCTCGCTTTATAAATACACCTACAACAACTTTGACTTGCTTTCTTTTTTTTTTTTTCTTTAGATTGCAGTCTTGACCAGTCGATGCAATATCAATGACTGGCTTGGACACTGTCTTGTGAGATTCCGAAATTAACTTCACAAAAAGAAGCAAGGGCGTTGCAACTGTCTTATTGACTTGGACAATTTAATGTGCCTTTATAAAAAGAAGTTGTGCCACTTGCTTCATGTATACACTTGATTGGTTTGTTGTACTCCTTGTAGGGTCAAACTCGACGGGTCATCACGCGTCGTCACATACACCTCTTTCCAGAGATCGCGTTCAACAACACGCCGCCCACGTCATCTTCTCGGACACTAAGCGTAAAACTTGACCCGTGTCCAGCCTCATTATTCGATCGATCGTAGCCACAAGAAAGAAGCAGCCAGACAACACAGTCGGACTCGACGGAATCACGTGTACACATTTAAGAGTCCCGCGCGTAGACCTTGCCAAAAACCGTTTTAAATAACTTTGTAATAAAAAGTCTCCGGGAGCCGAGTCTGTCGAGCCGTCCCGTCCGGAGGCCTGTCGGGGCGAGGGTGGGAGGGGACAGCGAGGGCTCGCTGTCCCCTCGCGGGGGTCCTCTTCAGCGGCGCAGCCATGAGATCGGACTCGCGGTCGGTCAATACGAGGCCAACCGGAATCAGTCCCCCGGACGAGGAGATTAAATCCCGCGATAAAGGAGCTTCCAAGCCGCGACGCGCCGTCGGAATACGTTCTGAGGTAGCCGGAGTGTTATATACTAGATGGCGGAATCGTGAGAGTAGCTGTAAAACTCGACTAAAACAAAAAAACCTTGAATGAAATGAACTGGTTATTCGACGCTGGCGAAAAGGAAACGCGAAGGGAAAGAAAAAAGAAGCAAAAAATGACGAGGAAAAAAAAAGTATCATAAAGAGAAGTACCGTGGAAAGTTCGTGTCGGTGGGTTATTCTTCTGGGTCACGTGACGGACGGTCCAGGATTGGACCGGGAGGCGGCCAGGGAAGATCCTTCACGGGCCAGGTATAAAAGAGCCCCCGACACGCTGCAAAGGCACACTGCTCCACTGTGCTTACTACAGCTCGGAAACAGCTCCTCCGTTCTAGCATTCAGGATGTTGAAGGTAAGTTGTACGGTTCGCCGTGAGCTCGTCTTGGAGTCCAGACATGAAAGCAACAAAAAGAAGAGAGGGCCAGTAATGGAAAGTGGGGGAGGCACAAAAGAGGGGCTTTGGGAGAAAACGTTTATCATCGCGCTCGGTCGAGGAAGAGCTCTTACCGTCCCCTCTTCATGGATTCACGACGGAACAACACGAGCTACTATTTCCGGAATCTGGCCCAAGCCGCAAAGGAGTCCGTCCGAGGAGAAGTTTATTACGCGGATGAAGGAACGCTAGGGGCAGTCGTGTTACGAAACAGACAATATGGAGCTAGTAACTTCTAAAAACGACAACAAGACAGCATTGCGAATAAGACCTGTTGCGCAGGAGCTTAGTCTCGAGCTTGTCTTGTCGAGAGACTTCTTCAGCCCTGAAGAGCTCTTTTAGACATGGTTGCATCCTTACGACGCTCGTAGAAGCTTTATACATTAAAAAAAAAAAGACCTCTTGAACATAACTTAGTAATTCATATCTTCAAGTTCGTTTCAGACCCTGATACGGACACTTAATCATTAGAAGACAGCGAATAGGCTTTCATGTAAAGCATTTACAAGGAGAGTTCCTTGCAGGATTTAGAGACTATGAGCGTGTTGCAGCAGGCGTCTGAGCAACAGCGATTAATGCTGACTATTAGAGTTTGTGAGCAAAAAGAACATTACGAAATTTATAGGTTCAGTTTTATCTCCATATCTGTAGTCAATCAATGGCCGATGCTTAGTTACTCTTAACCCCCTCAGTTCGCCGCCGTCCTCCTTCTGGCCGTCGCCGTCTCGGCCGTGCCCCTCAAGTTCAACCCACAGGGTGACCTGGACACCGTAAGTACACGCCCCTCGCACTCCTAATTTGCATCCTTACTATGCCAACAATTGACCGACTCTTCTAAGGAATATTTAAAGGTAACAATTTTAATTTAAAAAAAAACAAAAAAAAAACAGCGCGCAAAATGACTGGAGGATGAACACGTGACAAACAGTCGCTGCTCCTTGCTCCGTCCTTTTTTTTGTCCAGTTTTTTCGTACGCTGTTTTTCGTTATGTTTAATGATCACCAAATCGACCGTCTCGCCAACTTAGATCTTAGTCCTGAAAACGGTTCACACTTAAAGTGCAACGTTAAGTCAGCGCTGCAAAGAAATCATCGAGCTTGCGCTATAACAATCCTGTATCAGCGCTGCAGGCTGAATGTGACCCCACCTTTTCCTCTTTACACAAGCAGGGCAGCGCTGAATCATCGCTGACTTGATGTTATCTAAACGTTGCGCTGAATGTGTGAGCCGGTATTTAAAAACATGGTAAAACAACTTGATGGCAACATCCCAAGGAATCCATGTTAGTATATGGCGAAACACAGTTTGATCGCCGCTCAGGATAGCGTTGAAACGTGTAGGTGTTACCAGCATCTTAGCCGGTGCTCATGATTCACACATTTGCTTCCTCCTCAGGCAGAACATCAGTTTAAAAAGCATTTTGGTCTAATGCCTGTAAGGTGTTAATAAAACTAAAGTCAAAGCAGCGACGGCAATTTCACACGCAGAGTTGGAACAACAAAATCGCGCACGACTTTAATATGCCGATTAATGAGCGAAATGGTTTATGGTGTATGTCGATGATGCAAGGCGTGTCTCTTTTAACGAAAACAAAAAATACTTCTCTGATGTAACTTTTTTGTTTACGGCGCACATCCAATTAACTGTTGTTTCTACACGAATCTACGGAAGATATACGTGATTTAGAGTTTCTGTCCGCTCCAACATAAATTGTGGAGGCATGACACTGAAAGAGCATGTTAAGGATTATCGTTGTGGTGAATGAATGACGCTAGCCCCATTTCCGAGCTTTCAGACTAGTGAAAGCGTAGCGCTCTTTCCTTAATCGCTTGGTTGTCCCGAGTTTGTTTCTCGTTTCTTTTATTTCTTTGAAGATATTTATTCGGGGATTACCACGCGGAGTACAAGGTTTGCGGGGGATTATAGGTCAGAAGGACGGATGTACTTCACCGTCCTCTCCCCTAACATATTGAGAGTAAAGTAAGAATAAATGACCGGCGCATACCCTTAAGCAGCTATAGATGTCCACTTCCCTTGCACGTGATCTGTTGGGGTTCTTTCCTCCTTACCATCCATGAATCAACGTGGTGCTATTCCTGTAACCGGAAAATCGCTGTTCATTGACAAACGAATTAATATAAAGGAAAATGTACGTCGATCCTAGCCGACTCGTCCGCACACACTACTCGGCGCAACGTCCGTCACCTGCTGGAAAACGCATACGAATGGGGATCTTAAGATTCACAAATTCTATCATTAGCCCTGCGCGGTGTTGCTTAAGTCGCAGACGCGAGCTAATCTTCAACAAAACAAAATGAACCATCAGAATGCATAACATCGCTAGAATGAGTCTATATTCTCCGAGTGAGGGGCTACAGGTCCTCTATAGCGCATACAACTAGAGTAGAGTACAATTACTCTAGCATTAGGGTAACTAACTGAATCTGCCAATTAGTTAATCTAGGCATTAGTAAAATAGCTGTATATGGGCGAGGCTACGCGCTTCGCTGCTTTACTGCGTTTTGTTGAACACTGGACTTTCATGGTTCCAATGCTCCGCCAAACACCATGTGTTTCGAATCTATTATGCCCGCGTCTTTCTCTATAGTAACCGTATATACGCAGCTTATAAGGCAGCTTCCTAATGCTTCTGTGCATTTTCATTCAACTCTTTTCTCCGTCGATCTCCCGCAGGCTGCCCAGACCTTCCACGCCGTCCATGCCGCCGACGACTTCAGCCAGCCAACCCCGTATTCTTACAAGCACGAGACCACCGGCGAGGACGGCGCCGTGACCGTGCACGAGGAGAGCGGCGACGGCCAGGGCCGCGTCAGTGGCAGCTACAGCTTCTCGCTTCCCGACGGTCGCCAGAGGACCGTGCGTTACACCGCCGACGAGACCGGATTCCACCCCGAGCTCACCACCAACGAGCAGGGCACCGAGTCCAACAGCCCGGCTGACTCGTCCTTCAGCTCCAGCGCTCTGCCAGGACCAGACGCCGCTCACGCCGCCGAGCCAGAGAGGCTTCGTCAGCTCGGTGCCGGAGGCTTCAAGTCCAAGGCATAAGCAGACCGCCCGATGAGCTACGCCCACGGCGAAGCTGACCCGGGATCCTTCGCTCTCCGATGACCTGGTGCGTCGAGCGACGGCCTCTATCCCCCGACTGTTCCTCTGCTGCTCTACCCGCAGTGAACTCGAGATTCGAAAACTGCCGAAGTATCAGCAACCTTAAAAGAAGAAATAGTTAACGAAACGAGTGTCGGACGACGTGTGGCCGGATGCTCCGAATTACGAAACATCTTGTTTTGTTTATTATTTATGCTAGCTGTAGATACGCGCGGCTTCTGTTCTTCGGACGCTCGTTCGGATTGCGGCAGCGTAAATTTCTCGGGTTACCTCTAGCTCTTTGTATTTCTTTAACACCCTGATTTGGCGCGGGATATCGCTCAAGTAGGACACGGGGGAAACATAGAGACCGCGTTTATACTGGGTTACGCGGGGGGACGAACTGCTTCTTCGGTCGCTTCTTCGGTAAGCGTTCACCGTCACGAACTCACCGATTTGACCAGGACTGTCACGAAGCCAGAACAATGAAGAACGAATGTAACCTGTCACGTGTCTGTCTTGTCTGTTTTAGTTCTAACTGGGTCTCATCTTTTTTTTTTTTTTTTTCCTTCACCTTCCTTTCGGGGAGTTTGTTGCGGAACACGTGGTCTTCGAGACACTTCCCAAGACGCTCCTCGTCTCCGCTCGCTTGCTCACTGCAGCGTCTGCGCCGGCGCTCTCTTTTACTCACTGCGGTTCCGAGCCTCTGGAACTCAAGTACCCAAGCTTTAAATTAACTTTGCGAGCTAACCTACACTGTACAAAGGCGATAACATAGTTTGAAATCCACGCTGTGCGTTACACTGATGGTTGTGAATCACTTGTCTTTGTGTGCCACGGTCTGACGGGGTGGAGGCACTACTTATAACATTCCTTCTCTCCTAGCTGACACTTTCCGTTTCATGTGCTGTGCATGTAACATATTTGTTGTGTCCCATGTCCCTTTCCTTTCACTTTTGTGTCTTCTTGTCAATTCCTTGTACTGGCCTCGTGAACTCGACAATAAAATAACGAAGCAATACTGTTTGGAACAGCACCCAACATGATCTGAATATTCAATTCACAGTATACCCATTCTCAACGCAATAGGAAACATACTGCTATGTTCTCAGCCAACCCATTGGGTATGACTTGAGTCAGCCTATGGAGTAGCGTATAAGACGTCTTAAGTAGACTCTGAAGTTGCACTAACTAGCGGTGCCTCCTCCTGGCTCGATGTTCACGAGGCCGATTTAGACTTTCGCCTTCCAGATGCATCGCGGTCAAGTCGCAAAGCTTGCTCGCTTGCTCAGAGCCATAGTCCATAGGACGAGAGCAGCAAGGAGGATCGGTTGTTCCGCCTCCAGCGCGAACTTTCTGCCTTCGATAGCACTTCGGCGTCTCGTGAGCCCCGAGCGTGCACACGCATTCAAAGCACGACGGGAGGCAACTAGCGCCTGCTGAAGGCCGAATGTCCCAAAGAGATGCCCTGCCGTTGCCATCCTGTCAGTGCCTGAAACGCGTCGTCTTCGACTGGTGTGCTTCCTCCAATGCACCAAAAGTGGTCTCGATACGGCAACAAACTGCATCGCAGGAGCTGGCGTGTCATGCTGTGGGATGTGGCGATCCTGGCGGCTGGTCATACACAAAAAGAAACGCTGGCGAAAAAGACGATTGGACGCGTGGGCCGCGGTCGTCTGCGTTTGGTATCCGTCGACTGCCTATACGGCAGAACAAGCGTCTGCTTCATCCACCTCCGCTGCTCTGCCACCGCCCGGATCACGGCAGGCATGCGGTGTGCCCGTTTTATGACGCCATCAGGCGGAGGTCGAGGCACCGCTTTTTAGAACGCGGAAAACACACCAGACGGAGGCGCGCTCCAGGCATTGTATACAGTGGAGTCAAGGTGTCAAAGCCGAGGCATTACTTCCAGCGCAATCAACACAACCCGTTGGGTTCATTTCCGCAACAGCTGGAAATAAGTATAAAGCGGGACTCTGCTTTGATGCTTCCCGTGAGGTACTCGAGTGACATTTGATTCCGTTCGAGTTTCCGATTCCTCCGGTATTACTTTCACATCTGACAGTAGTCGCAATTCATGGCACCTCATGGTCGACATCTATATTGTGTATGGCATCTCCAAGCGAAGACTGGCGCTCGAAACAAATCGCGCATGCTCACGCAAGAAGAGGAACTCGGGACGAAGAATCCTTTGGGACAATTTACTCCTCGCCACGCTGTCCAGACGGAAAGACGCGATAAACACTTCGCAGAGGTCCCTCTCTCAAAACGATAAAACACCAAGACCACAACCCTGACACGAAACGTTCTCTATTCGCATTTAGCCCCCCCCCCCCCCCCCCCCCCCCCCCCCGCCGCGGATTCACGTGCCTATCTTGATCCTAAGCCACCGTATAACCAAGCTGGGAAAGCGTGCCTCGGGGAGACTCGCCTTATCTGCGGGAGATGCGAAGGCTACCGATGCAGTTCGAAATGGCCACGCTCATGAAAATAACATCGCGAAACCTATAATCCCATCTGACCTAGAATTTACACAGCCGAGACGATTAGATATTCCATTTGTGGTTATTCGGAACGATTCAATCCCGTTGCGTGACGCCTTCTCTTGCTATTCTAGCTTAGTATGATGGCTTCGAGATACCTTGAAGCAACGCTGATTTGGGGGAAGAAACATAGCGACCTATATGTCTCTCTTCACTCGTTCAGCGAGCTCGCAGCATTTTCCAGGGTAATCTAAAGGTATCTGCTTTATCGAATGAGTGGAAGGATGCATACGGCTGAACCCTCTTAATTGGGCGACGGCTTGCGCCATCTAGCCAGTATATATAGTATCAATATTTAAATTAAATGCACTGGATCTGTGTAAGGTAGATGTTGACTGTTAAGCTAGCCTCTATCTTACATACAAAATCACTCCTCAGGAGCACCATTTAGGTTCATGTCTTACGCGACCAACCACGTCACATGTGATGACACGATCACTAATTACAGAGCATGTGAACGTATGTATTCGAAGTTTTTGTTTTATCAGTTACTAATGTCGTATATAAGGCATATCTGCGTGCTTATAACACTGCTCTGTTATTTGACAGCTAAGTCAAAAGGGCAGTTTTAATGTATCTAGATACAAATATGTTAAGTGAAAGTGGATTGATAGAATTGTATTTGCATGTTTAAGAACATGGAGCAAATCCTCTGTCCGAAACACCCAATATCACTGATTGTTACTGTAAAGGCCTGTTCACAGACGCACTGCAGCACTGACTATGCGCTAGACACAGCTCAGCGCTACATCAGCGCTCCTCTGCCTAAGACTGCGCCCTTTTTACCGGCCTTTAATTTCTACCGGGGGAAAAAAAAAGAAAGTGCCGATACCTGGACTATTGGAATTTCGCGATTCTACGTTAAGAATCCTTGTTACGTTGGTGACAATCGGCGATCTCGGCCCGGCATGTTTGAACATTCCTAGGAGTGAGTGAGAGTGCCTCTTGGTGTTCCAACCTTTTCGGAAACGAGAAGTTGCTCATCCAAAGGATAAGATCTGACTCTGACCTTGTGAGTGTGGCCACGAATCCGTCGAGCTCTCAGTTATCTTCAGTAAGTACCACGAAGGTGACGCCGGCAGTTACGTTTTTGCCTTTCCTGTTATTGATTCAGGTTGTTTGAGTCACGCTATACTCTCAAGCTTATTCCAAATAATAGTCTAGATAAAAAAAAAAAAGTTTTTGAATGGCAATTTCAATTACCGATCTCTGGAACAGGACTCGACATCGGGTCTTCATCGACCTGCCATCATGGGTTAAGTGGTTGATTTTGGCGAGGAAATCTCTCGGGTTCCTTTGGCCGGTCTTTCTTATTCTGTGCAAAGATGTGTCTTAAATGCAACCCCAAACATTTTTAATATTAATTTCATATGGTGCGGTATAAATTGGTGTAAAAATATTAAATCAGGTGAGCTGGCGATCTTGTTTAGGGTTGAAATCCCTGGGGAACGGCAAAAACGGTAGAAAGGAAGAACACAATATTTTCAAGATTTGTTTTTACTTTTGTGTTTGTCCTCGGTTCCTTTTATCCATCGGTCCGGGGTTGACAGTGTCAAAGAAAGTGATACTTTCCGTTATGGGTCACAAGAGATGGTACCTGGTTAAAAATCTAAAAATTTAAACCAAATTAAAAAAAAAAAATATATTGAAAATGGCTTAATGGAAGCACCGAGAGCATTAAACAGATACGAACGCGACGCAAGGGGAAACTCTATTTGGATTTTGAAACGATGCCATGACACTATTACCTGAGACGTTGAATACGAAATGACCACCATATCGAGGATGGTTTCTTGGGTGATAGATATCCTTCGAGCAGCCACTCAAGGCTGTGCGACTGACTCGTCGTTCGTTATAGGTCATTAACTACCTAGTTGCTGAGGCCAACCACCAAGTCAAAAAGGCCTTATCAAGGACAAGATTTTGTGAGTGAGTTAGTTAATTGAACGGCTCTCGAGTATCGGCCTATGAATCTGACGTTTAGGTAAAGTCAATGCCTTAAGTCAGCTAAGTTGGTGCCGCGATAATCTCAAGCAGATCCCATGGAATATTCGGTAGATCCAGAGAAACTGGAAGTTAAATAACTGCTTGATGCCTGCGAATAATGCGCGCCTTATTGATTTTTTTTTTATTTACATTTTTGTGAGTTCTAGTAAACATTTGGTTATCAAACTCTGTGTAGAAGTTGAGAATTGTGCAGCAGATTCGAATATTTAAAGTTTATCTTTCACTTCTACCAATTTGAACATGTCTGTGCTTTTTGCACTCATTACGCTAGAGAAAGAAAATAATGATTGAAGGGTTCAGCGGTCATATTGTAATAGCCAAAATCGTGTCTCACATCATGCACATCGAAACGTGACATATGAGAGGTATCTGTATATAATATCTACAAAATAAATGGCTGATATTTCAAATAAAATATAAAATGGAACGTTTTAATATCTATTGAAAAAGTAGACAAGCACACGGTACATTAAAATTGTTCATACAATAAAGTAAAATAAAATAAACTATTCTACAAACTAGCGAAATCGTAATCGTAGAATAAATTGGCATTGAAGGTATTTATATGCTTTATTTTTTAATATGGCTGGGATGGGGTACCTTTGTTACACTAAATAAAAAACCATTCACGACTTTAAGATGCTGCAAACGGAGAGAAAGAGATGATTTAAAAGTGGAGAAGTCACCCTGGGTGCCCATCTCTAGCAGGCTAGTCTGCACTGAGAAAATGATAAAATAATTTGCACGAGAGGAGGTGAAACAAAAAAAGAATTAAAGGGTGATTTTTTCTTTTTTTTTGTCAGGCCTACCGGGAAGTTGTGTGCATAAAAGTGGCCACAATATATGACAAGGTTGTGTCGCAACCGAACTACGTTTGCTCAGCTGGTGTCATGCCCCACTCACGCGTTTGGTAACACTCAAACTCGAAATCATTTCAATACAGTACATTTCAGTACATCACTGTCTCAAAAGCTTTCCGTGAAGTCAGGGCGGACGTCGCCGGTGAAAAAACCGAGCAACGTCGCCATACAATCGATGACAAATTCGGACCCTTGGTCAGCCTTTTAGCGCCATTTTATGGAGGACGTGTTAAAATGCCGAGGTCATGAAAAGAAGAGAAGAATAGGGCTGGTGAAATTCACGGTATAGCTTTGGCCTCAAGCAGCCACTTAGTTCTATTGCTGACGATAAAGAAATGATGAAAGCCCCTGATCAATGCAACAAATTGCGTTTGTATTTCACTATGGTCTCTTAATCTTCTTTTTCTCTGTTTGTTCATGCAGCCTCCCGAACAAGGCATCTAGGTTCCCGTCAGTGTGCCACCCCGCAAAGACCCGCCGACATATTGGGTGCAAGGTCAGACGCTATCGAACAAATACCGCTCCGTTCGATTGTCTCAAAGTCGCGATTGGGAGACGGCGTTCCACTGGAGCTCGGAGACCGACTAGGAATCACTAAAGCCTCTCCTGTCTCGCTTCTAAGGTCACGGTGTGAAAACAACAGCCCGAAGACGCTGCTCAAAATACCACCACCTAATCATCGGGGAGCCGATGGGAAGCGCCGTGAGTCTTTCCTTTCTGTCCAACCCCGTCCTCGGACTCCTTCCAGCCGCCTCCATATTAAATAAATGACCTGATAAAGGTCTCAAAACTAAAACAGAAGTGCCGGGAAATCGCGGCGCAACGCGGCGTCCTATCGTCGATAATCGAAAGTAAAGAAAAAAATATCCAGACAAAGCCGCGACGCTATCGGGTCGGCTGACGACGCTTGCGGTGGTGGCGGTTTGTTCGGATGCTCACTAGCTCGTTCGCATAAAAGTCAGTCTTTTTTTTTATTATCTTTTAGCCTTATTCTCTACTTGCAGAGTATAGGACGCAGGCATCCTTGAAAACTCCCCTGCGCGGAGAAAAGCGGGACGTCTTAGGGCTGCCGTTGTCGAAGAAGAACACAAATCTCGCTTCCTTCCGAACGCAGGATCGGGCTGATGGCACACCACGATACACTTTCTCACCCCTCGCGTCGACGTATATCAAGCCCATCGTCTGCGGCTTATGAGAACAAACAGCAGCAACCACGCACGACCGCCCTCCCCTATCCCTCCTAACCGACTTCGTTAACATGCGCGCCAAGAAAGAAAGTGTGATCCCGTTTCGATGATCGCGGTGACAGGGGAAGTCGAGGAGAAAGCGGACGCCTGACTCGAAACTACGCAAGCAACCACCAGCAGTTTCTTAGACGGGGAGGGCGTACTTTACAGCCTCTTTGTCGAAGATAAGGGCATAGAGGGTATAAAAGCGCGGGCAGGCGAGGAGCGAGATCCACTTTAGGTCTTGTTCTCATCGACCGCAGTAGCAGCCATGAACACGGTAAGGATTCGATTGCCGCTCGTATAGGCGCCTGCTCTGCCACGACCCAAGCTGGAAGCGCTCGGATACACGTTTCTGCACCGCGGCACCCTAATGGGATGTGGACGAGGCATCTAGAGCACGGAGGCTTGTCAAGAGCACGGGGATATGTGGCGGGAGTTGGATTAGGGACCTCCTGTGGATCTCCAGAATGGCAGTGCAGGCTTCCCCTAATGAACTCCCGATTTAGTGTTTTTCACACTACCAATAGTCACTTTAGGCTTTGTGGGAACATTGGATCTGGCAAAAATTTAATCGTCATAAGGGTTTCTCCTAATCACTTTGGCTCCCTCGCGGTCACTTCGAGCAGTCTTAGCAGCTCCTTTTTAAATTTTGATCGTATCAACGTCCGGCTTACGCCGACTCAGATTTTATCAGATAAAATGTCTAATTTGTAAATCTAGTGTACTTGTTGGCATACTTTAGGATAAGTCAATCAGTCAGCGAATTAATGATGAATGGTCCTCCCCTTCAAGTAGAGACTGCCACAGCAAAGTTACGATCGTTCTCTCCCGTTCGCCCGACATTCTGTAACTCTCTTTATACCGATGAGCATCGCAAGCCTTCGCCAAACTATTTCCACGATTATCTTTAATCTTGTTTTTCTCTCTACTATCTAATTCCAAATGATTTAACGCCTCGTTGCGAAGTGATAGCGCCACTCTGCCTTCGGTCCAGCCAAACCGAGTTAGCCCTAACATCTTCTCGCTTCCACGCAGCTAACCGTCGTCGTCCTGGCCTTGTGCGCCCTCGCCGTCCGATCTCAAGTGGTGCTGCCCGCGGAGGTGCCGACGCCCTACTCCTTCGGCTACGACTCCAACGACCTCGACGGTCACCACGGCCACGAGGAGACCGGAGACGGCAGCGGACGCGTGTCTGGCCGCTACTCCCTGTCCCTTGCCGACGGTCGCACCAGGACCGTCACGTACGTCGCCGACGAGTTCGGCTACCGTGCCGACGTTGTGACCAACGAGCCCGGCACCGAGTCCAGGAGCCCCGCCGACACGACGTTCACGTCCAGCGCCCTGCCAGGACCTGACGCCGCCGTCGCCGCCGAGGGACAAGTCGTGGCCGCGCCTCTTCGCCGTGCCTAATCGATGATGATCTATGAAGCGACGTCCCTCTCGTTCGTATGAGCCACCGACCTTTGCCTTCAACGTCTTTTGACTTTCGGATGTAGCTTAAGCAACTCGTTTCCGCTTGGACTCCTTCATCCGTGTCATGTCTTCAGGGATATGTGATGATCCTGGTGTACAGGTTTTCCAGAGGATCCCACGGGACCCTTCTCTTTGAGAATACTTCATGACTTGGTTATGTTTAGTGTGATTTGATTTTCGCAGCTAACTTCTAATTTCATTCTGTGAAAAAAAAAGTTTTGCAAGGATAGAAAAAGGATTTACGGTCAGCTTCTATGAACTGTGTTTTTAGCGTTTCGCTTTATTACTGTCACGGATAACCGCTGGCCCCTTAGCTTGGGGGTGCCTATGCCTGGTGTATGCGAAATTCTGTTTCTTGTGTGTCTCTCTAGTATTATTGTCTAACCTGGTTCCATTCCAAGCTAAGCAGTGTGTCTCGCGCAACTATTTATTTACGCTCTTGTCACGAGGCTTCCGCATGTTAAGTCATTTCGTTGTTCTGTGGAAACATTAAAAAACTAGCGTATTTTTCCCGACGCTGACATATAACTAAATAAAATATGGCCTACGGACACAACTCTCAACTCCCTTTTTGTCTTTGCGTTACCACACGACCGAGGGACCGACACGTCAGAACTTAAAAATTTGAGATCATGACCTCCGAGGTCACAATGTTTGCACCGGCAATGTCAGACTTTTCAAAGCGTCGTCAACCAATCGTCCTTTTTTTTTTTTGACGTGCATTTGTATGGACGTTTTCCCCGAGAGGCTTACTTATGAAGGTTTTGAACATTGCCTACAAAGTTAGAGCCGTTCTCAAAGACAACTAATAATTCAACAAAAACAAAGCGACGACCCATCGATTTGTTTTTGTGTCCCTGCTTAGTTTTCCTTGTGTGTTTGGTTTAGTAAACAAAGCACATAAAAAACTAAGGAGTAAGATTTTTATCTAAAAAAGTTAATAAAATCCGTCAGCCAATTTTGCTGGTTAAAGAAAATAGGAGGACGGATCGCAAAGTACGTCGAAACAAAACAGAAAAACCAAGATGTGCAGACTCGCGCGTTAACGCTACATTCCGTATCTTACGCGGTAAACATAAATAAATAAAAAAAAACCTACACCGTGATCGGGTGGCAATAGTAAATGAACGAAGAAGACTGTGGCCTCAATATTCACGTTACTTGCATCATACGGAAGAGGACCTTCGATGCCCTCCACGTCGTCGATCTGAGACAGCGCAAGAACGACCTCGGAGGTCGAGAGTAGTCAAAGCGGGGTCGCAAGACACGACATAGACGAAACTTCCAACGTGCGCGGGAGTCCCCGCAGTGGAGGCACGTACTTACACAGTAGGCGTACGCACGAGCGGCTTCCGCAAGATCATGAACAAAAATTGACACATTTCTTTTTTCTTTTGCTTGGAAAACAGGTCTCAAGGTGTGAGCTACTTTCTCCTTTTTAGCGCATCTGCTTCCGCATCTCTGGTAAGTTTTTCTGTGTTCCATTTGTCCCCCCTTTATCAGAAAGGGCGTTAGAGTGCGGTCTACTTCATTTTTGCTTTCTTGTTCGCGCATCTCCCACGGGTTGCGATAGGCATCTGTGCTCCCCCGTTTTCACTTTTTTTCAGGATGTCAAGGTTATACCTGCTTACCTGGTGGGCGACATGTTTGAGGTTTTCGTACCGGTACCTTATTCGTGTTGCTTTCCTCTGGCTTTGTTCTTATCTAACGCTCATCTTGCTAACAATACATGACATTCTTGGACAATTTTCGGCGTTTCGCATCTCCGTCTTGGTTTTTGCTTGATGTTAGATGCGTAGTATTTCTCTAACCCCACGTCTGGGATTTTTACTAGTCATCGATTGTGAAGGACTATTCCGATGGTGTCCGTGAAGAGCGTGGTTGATGCGCGTAGTCATCGTGTGCAATAAAGCAGCGCCTGGCAGCGCGGTCAAAGGGAGCATTCTACCATTTGCCCTATTTCCATCGGAAATTTCGGAGGTCACAAGTTTCGTTCATAAATAAATCCTTCTATACTTCGTCTCACCTTAGCATGGACTAACTGCGGAGGCTGCGTAAGCTCAAGCTGCTAGCCTTGACTGTCCTGAAGGGAGCACCCGGTGCACAAGCGCTCGTGCAGCCGCCGAGGCTTCATCTAAAGCAACGAGCTCGCGCTTTTAGCATGCGCGGCTAGCAGTAATTTATGCTAAAGTGAGACAAAAAAAATTATTTTAGTAACAACGTGATAGCGATATATATATATATATATATATATATATATATATATATATATATTTTTTTTTTTTTTTTTTTTCAGCGGAGCTGTTAAGCGCTAGTTTCCCCAGTTTTGTGTCCATGGAAAAATCAATCTCGACTCAACCCTCTGGACAGCTACCGCCATCTATGAGCAACGGTGGAAACGAGACAACCGGCTTACCGGTTGTCCGATTGCCGCCGTCGCTCATAGATGACGGCACATAGTACAGCTCCGCTGCTCTTCCTTTATCACCAAAGTAAAAAGGCTGAAAGATTTTTTTTTGTCAACTGTCCAATTACGACTATACCGACATTTATTAAACAGCCATTTTTGAAAAAAAAAAAAAAAAAAGAATTGGAAGCGCAGAATTGTTTGAAGTACTTTGTCATGTTATGCTGGCATTTCCGAACGGCATATACACGAACTCAACTCTGTTAAGTCACGCTGCGATGGTAGCAACGTTACTAGATTATCCCAGCTGTGGAACTCCTGCGCAAGGGTGCTGCACCCCCTCCCACCCTCCCCCTCTTACTCACTTCACCCCGCCTCCCGTCGCTTGAAGCGCCATCTAGATTTTCGTTTCCTAACTGTGTGTGCCATAGAGTACGGCGGAACGCCATCTAGACGTTGTGCTTCGAAACTTACGTATTCCATAGAATACACTGCAGTTAACATAGCAGCTGTCCGGCGCTTCAAACAATATAAATCTTCCTTTTATTTTTTTTTACAGCAACGTTTTAGCGAGAAAAAACGAGACGAAAATCTGCCTTCTCGTCAAATTCCGCGACTGGAACGGTACTAAAAGGGTCGGTAGATGTTTGACGATCAGCTTTTATGTATTTTCGGCCTGCTCGGTTCGTCCCAGTACGTTGATAGGTGCCGTGAAAAGAGAAAACGAGACGCCGTCGGACCACAATCGCTTGTGCGGAAAGCACTTTGGGTTAAATTCACGGATACTTGTGATCGTCAGATGCATTTGTTTCGTTCCAACATAAACGCGGGACCATCGCCAAATTGTCCGGACTATACCGGCGAACAACGTTCAGTGCGTCTTCGAGTTCAAACAACCGCCTGGTCGCTTAAACTGTCGTCTGGTCATTCAAACGACAATAACCCGTAGACCAAACGTTGACCCAGTAATTGCGATAAGGAGTAAGTGTAGGCCTCAAGACCTATAACGAGTCGTACGTTGCTTTATATGCTAACTATTTATTTACATTATTTACACGTTGGCTTTATGGACTGTCGAAGTACGACATGGATGCCCTGCTGATCACCCGAGCAGAAGTGCTCGAGCCCTCTTTGCGTTTTCTTCTTCATCCGCTGCCGTGGCTTATATGTGGTTGCCGCAGACTTATAAGTCTGAAGGTTGCTTAGGGAAAGTAGGCTCGGTGTAAACAGTAGACACAAGGATGTGTTGATCATTGCTGCCAGTAGCCATCAGCGATTTGTTATTCCTGATTCACTTGGTCCGATTCTGGTCGCGATTTTCAGTGTCGACGTCGCGCATCGATCTACCGTGCACGATTTTGCAGCCCGGGCGACGTCGCGACTAAAAATAGCGAGCAGGATCTGATCATTGTTTTAGCGTCCATTCTGCGGTGTTCACGCCAATCAATCGCCGCACGTCACATCATTCACTCGAAGTTCTGCGGTGTAACGATCCTCGTTAATTTCGCTCAAGTCACTAAAGTGGTAAGACATTTCCAGGAAGGCATAGAATCAACCATTCCAACGTGGAAAAGGACACAGGAAGTCAGGGACTCACACCGACGCCGACAACGTAACATTCCGGTAGTTTGTTGTCGCGGGACGCGGCGCTTTTTGCCCACACTCCTTCGCGCATGCGCGGCCCCGGTGTCGTGCCGCTAAAGGCGCTCCGGTTTGTTTGTAAACACGAGTTGGTGTACAGACTGGGTCTACATGAATGGGATCGGAGTGCGTCGAGTCGAGCGGGGACCAATCCAACGCCACCCTACTTCTTTCTCCCCAACCCACCTACAACCAATCAAAATTGTCCAACCCCGATTCGATGTGCTAAGGTCGCATTCGTGTGAATTCAATTATATTCTCGCAACTGGTGAGCGCACCGTTGCTGGGGGCAGGTCGAGGCAAAGCATATGCCACTGCAGAACCAAGGGTACAATGATTCAATCCCCACCGCTGCCTGTCTTCATCTGAAAGAGAATCCTACCGGCATATGGTCGTGCATCACCGCTGCGTCGTGCACGTCCGAAACCTCATGGTTCTGCATTTGCTGCATTTTTCATCCGCAGCGTGTAGCAGTGCTGCCAAACCCTAGCAGATCAGGGTAACGCTGTCTGAACATCCAACTTATATTTGCTTTTGTGTATTGCGAGGCTGAAGAAACTAACACTGCATTTTGTTATCTTGCGATGGACCGCAAGGGACGCCATGAACCGTCCTATAGCCAATCCAGTGCGGTCACCGTATCACGTGCTTCCACGTCACGCACACCACTGCGTCTCCCCGGAAGGTGCCATGACACTCACATGACATTAGACTGCTTTCAGTAACTTACAGCGTCCGCTGCCGTTCATCGTAAGGTGAAACAAAGAAGTCTCGTAAGGAGTCATTTTCCCCGGAAATCCAACAGACCTAGGTTCCCGCGTTTTATAACTTTATCGCTCCATCACCAATTCTAAAAAACAATATATATATAAAAAAAAAGAAATATGTC